AAAGAAAGAAAGAAAGAAAGGGGGAAAGTTAGAAATGGCAAGAAATACCCTGAGCGCGTCTGGTGAGTTTGAGTAGTCAACCGGTTGACATTTCCAACTGTATTTTCGAAGCCAAGCCGCGTCCAGGCCTTCGTAGAACAGCCAGAAGCTGAGGAGGACTTGAAGGAAGTTGTAGAAGACTAGAATATTCTTTAATTGGTACGGTTTCCTGTGTTCCATGTGCCTGGGACCCCAAGACAGGATGAAGTACAAATAACCGATTAGGATGCTAGCGCCAGGTACGGGTGATGGTATGAGGAACCAATCCTTCGTTCGAGGATCTAAAAAACATTTGTAATTAATCTAGGATAGTGTAAAATAGGGAAGGTTCGAAGAAGAGAATATTGCTTCTCACCAGATAGGTCGTGAAATACATAGTGATAAAATCGAACTACCGAATTATTGTAAATGTTTGACATTCTGTCGATGTGAGGTACGTTGCTCGAATTCATTGGAAGACTGAAACATGATCAAAAAACATAATAATTATTTCATATGATATTTTTAGAAGCAAAACTTAACTCATGGAGTACTCTTATATAAATATGAATCTATAAATATAATTGGAATTTTTATAATAAAATGATATTTTAAATAAAATATTTACTTCTTTTGAAATCTTGGTCAAATTTTTGTTGATTAAAGTTTTGAACATGTGAAGATTTATAGATTAGTGAGTTGTTAGTTCTGTAATTGGTTTATTTTTAATATTACATTGTATTTATTTCAGTGCATTATATCTTCTGTATCTACAAAATTATTTGAAAGAAAGTATATTTCTACCATTAATAATTAATAAATGTCAGATAGGTATCTATTCAACATCATCTATAAATTTTTGTGTTCTATGCAAACACTTCTTATCTATCACCTATTAATTATTATAACCAAGCTCTCAAGATAAAGGAATAAGATACTAATATTAGTATAACTTTTGGAAAAGCTGAAATATCAAATTCAATTTTTTTAAATTGATTAATTTATTCTGTGGCATTTGATTGAGCAAGTGGGCCGGCACATTGCACAAATTTACATTCTCCCTCGAAATTTGTATAAATATAAACCGGTTTCCGATCCCGAGTCGCGCGATTTGAAGTATAGTAAAAAGAAGGAGGGAAAAACAGAAAAACGCTCGACTTCGCATTCTTTATTGGTAATGTTTAAACTGTTCGCTCAGTGGCAATGTTACATCATATGGAAGAAAAAAATTGTGCCATTTTTTGTTCCTTTTTTTCCTATCTCTAAACCGCACGTACATATTATTGTCTGTGCAAAGTTACACAAGAAAAGTGAAACATAGTTCTTACACCTTTTGTTTGAATTCTCGTCGATTGCTATTTACATTAACCACCGGGATAAATTTTTAATTATTAACTGATATCATTAAATCATTGAAGATTATGATAATTTAAAATTGAATTAATTGAATTTAATTTTTAGTTTTAATTTAATTCAATTCTATTGCGAATTATTATGATAAAGAATGTAAAATATAATATATCTTAAATGACATAAAGTTTAGTAGTATCATTGGGTTACAAATAATCATTAGATCACTAAACTTTGGAATATTTTTTTTTCTTTTATACATTTTTTGTAATTAAGAATAAAATTAAATGAAATCGAGAATTTCTAAATTAATTAACTCTTATGGTTCTCAATGCGACATAGACATTTTTCTTAACATTCTCAAATGAAATGGATAAATTTTTAGTCAGAATAAATTCAGGAAAAGATGTTTGGGTACTTTGAATTGTTGTTTGGTCCTTTTCTAATAATAACATAATAATATAACACATAAGAGTGAAGTATATAAAATATAATTATAAAATATACAGATATGTAACTTTCAAGTTGCACAATATCATACGGAATTAATACAATCATTCGTAATCCGATTATACTCGAGATTAAATCTTTCCATTTAACGAATTCATCGACTGAAAACAACTGAATCATCCGACGAATGTAAACGACGAATTTCAAACCCCGGATTCGAACGCAACTTCACGATCGCTCGTAAAATTATACCCGACCTTTCTCTCTCGAGACAAGTGACAGAATGCAACGGTCAGACAAACTCTTCGCCGAAGACCATGTCGGTAATGATAGTTTAGGCAAGGACACTTGGCACGTGTCGGCCTACTCTTTTCAAAACCATAATCGTAAAATTTAAACGTTCTGCCCTCGATCTCTTTTATTAGGTATACAATTTAAATGTCGACAGGCGAGCGGCGAACCACGAGTTCTAGGAGACAAGAAATTTCCGATTCTTAAAGAATGGTGACGGGGGAGAGGGTAGGTAGATTTTCCATCGATAGGTATATCGGAGGAAACGAAAGAAAAAACGTGAATTGACACAATTACGGTGATTGGTAATCGCTCAAAAAAAGAAACGAAAGACCAGAGGCAACTATTTGTTAAGGAAATCAACCAAGAATATCGGTAAACCATCGCAAATTGTATAGATTCGATAATTGGATCGATACTGTACCCTGGAGAAGTTAAATAATTAAATTAACTAGTTGGATATAAATGAATATAATTTTCCTTTCTATTCTAATAATTATGCTGGTTATATCGTAGATAATTCCATAAGAATTTAATGCATGCCGCAACGAAGAATTAAATAAATCTATATAAATAAATCTAAATAAATCCAGATATCTATTTACGAAGTGTCATAGATATTACAAAAAAAGAATTTTTGCTTCAGCTAAATATCGTTATTTTAAAGGCAACGTGTTTATTCCACTTTAAGAAATCCTAGATAATTCTGTTGGTATTTGACACAACTCCTTTATGTGTTCATCACTTTTCCGACATGTAAAATCTCCGTCGATGATGGAAGAAACCGTTATCTAATACACCAGCGTTCTCTATCATTATCTTCTTCGAAGAAATTTCATGCTGCATACACTGGAAATTGAAGGATCATATACTGGTTGACGAAAGTCTACTGACACGTCGCACATATTTCGAAAGTGTTACAACTCTTGATAACTGAGTTTTGTATTGAAAGGACATTGAGACTGTCAAAGATGGATTTCAAGAATTAAATTATGAAAGATTATAGAAATGACACCAACATTATGTGCTTAATAAATAAATGTGAATAATCTTGGAAAAAAAATTTTTTTTTTTATTTAAGATATGTCACTTTCGAAATACATATAGAGCCAAACATACGTGTAGAAAGCTTCGAATCCAATTAATGTAAATCACCTCTCATTAAACGCGACTTATGTCATGTAAATATCCTTCTTAGTGACAAAATTTTCAATCCTTTAGTCCTTGTATTGCGGTCATTACAATGTAATTGCCTACTACGTTATAATTACTAAGCTATTCCGTCGACTGAAGGTTTCATCAGCAAAAAATTATTTGCACGGCAGGCACAAGTCGATTTTCATAAGATATAATTTTGCCCAAACCTATGAATAATATGTAAATATAAAATATAAAAATTATAAATAGAACATGTAATTTCCATTAAATGTGATTTACAGTAGTTTACACTAGTCTCTAAGCCTTTCATATAATAAAAAGGAAAAGGAATAAAAAGAAACTTAATTTCCTTCAAAAAGCGAATTTTACTAGAAAGTTTCCACGATTTTCATAGATACTGATTGGTAAGATTCGAGGTATACTAATTGCACAATATTGATATGTAATTGCTTTTTTTCCTCCGTTTGCGGGATATCGTTTGCATATAATATCGAGCGAAACGCAATCGCAATTATAATTAGTAGAAATTTTGTTTAAGATCCGTTTAAGCCGTGCAATTTTGTTTAAGATCATCGTGTATTTGTATTAACCTAAATTTTTTTTGTTCTTTTTTTTTCTCTCATACACTGAAAAGCATACCTTTCTATTACATGTTGCAATTTCCCTGCAATACTTGCTGCAAACGATTTGCACTAGCTCGTAACTATTCTATCTTGCGTTGTGCACCAAGAAAAATTTTCAGAATTTTGACGTACGGGAAACATGAACATTTTCCACCAATGTCCAATTGATACAAGTTTCCTGATATTTTAATGATCGACTTTTCCTGATATTTAACTCATTAATCATCACGCACGTAGACTGATTAAATTTATCATAAAATTATTCAAATTCAGCACGAATGGTCATAATTGCGGCACGTACATTACCATGTTGAATTGCATGCATCGCGGATTTCTTCACGCACTAAATATAAAGAAAGCCTGCTCGTCGCTTAGATTAGAAAATGTAAATTTATTTTACGACATTCGAAAGAAATACATCTATCGTTACCATAAAGTGTAATTCATTCGTTCGTGCAATCTTTTTAATCATTAAATTCGCAGACGACAACATCATTTGGCAATTCACGCTTTGACACTTGTTAGTCGCCGAATGAATATGCACTTATGTAACAATTAGTAATGTTTCTTCATACTTAGTTAATTATGACAGTAAAAGTGATCGCAGTAAAAAAATGACTGAGAACGCACGGAGAGAAAATTCTTATCTCGTATTATATAACAACAATGGTAATTTGACGGGCTGAATTTTAGTAATTGTTGAATATTCAATAATTTTACTTTTACAATTCTGTTATAATTCGGTATTGCGTTTCATTCTATATTTTCTGGTACCGGATATTAACCATAAACTATTATCTCAAACCCCTTTATTTTCTATTATTATTTGAAATCACTTATTTGGCAAATAAGTAATCTGAAAGTCATTCATTTTTCAATATTTTGACACTTATTCATACATTTAATTAATTATCTTTGTCTTCTGTTTTATTTTATGTACATTAGTATTCTATTGTTATTCGATATTATAAATAAGTTTTTTTATACATCTAGTTAAGCAATTATCTCTTTCTTTTATTTCAGATCCCGGATTACCTTATCTTTGACTCGTACTATAATTTCTTTCTTAAACTGATATTGAAAGTTATTAATATCTAATATTGTTATTCAAACGATTATTTCACTGCTACTTTCAGTCTCAAATTTAATAAACAAACACATTGTGACTGTACTTTGTACATTTCAACACCATGAACTTTGTATCTTTATATTTAAAACGAAGAGTCCACAGAGATCATCTTTTGAGATGCAATTCTCAGCGTTTCGCTCATGTAGATGTAAATAGCATTTCAAACATTGGCGTTGAACAACCACTGATAAATTCCCGTTGCAAAAGCGAGTACCATGCTCAATTTGTTCCTTTAACCACAAGTATTTCCATTACTCGTTTGTGATCAGTATGCACTGAATTTTCATTTTTCTTCATTCGTCATCAAAAAATCCAAGAGAAAAAGGAAGAATGTCAAATTTAACGAATTTCTATTTTAACATTTTTTTTTTTTTTGTTCGCGCTCTTTATCATTGGCTGTGTCGTACTTCGAATTAAAATTTTATGAGGAAGTACAAAGATGCGACGTTATACATTGGAAAATAAATCTTCGTTTTCCGAAGAGAATGGAAACTTATTTCCCTTTTCCCTTTTCATCTGCTTTTCTCAATATCATTAAAACATCGACTGGTTCAAAGTGAAAGTTGCTATTACTAGAAATGATTATAGAACGATGACGATCCGAATGATTTATTGACTTGTCAAATAAGTTAGTTGTAATTAATAGCGATTCAAATGATTCATGAGTGACGATGCAACATTAATGATGTGTGACAATTTAAATTGTCAAAGCATCGAAGGATTTAACTTCGTAGAATCTGTAAAGAGTACAACACAATGTTTTATTGCATGCAGATCCGTAGATAGCAATTTTCAATCTTTTCATCTCTGCTTTCATATATAGTGGCAAACAAAATAAATTCGCAGAGGTTGCCAAAAATGGCCATTTTTTTATCCTTTATAATCCCTAACAATAATCTATTCAGATTTTTTTATTTCTTAGATATTTCCTGCATCGTGATAAACAATTTTGTTTCGTCGCAAAGACAAAACAAAAGAGACTACTATCTCTCAGTGTTATTTCGTTTCGTATCGCTTATTATATCCTGAGGCAACCACTTCTTCTTAGCAATTATGATTTATTAAAACTTAATCAAGAGAGAGCAGCGACGTATTTAAACGTGCAACCACAAGCCTGCAATGGTAATGGATATTAGTTGCATTTTACAATTACAAACATCTCGAAATGTGTGCCATCAACAACGTGCTGACTCGTCTTCCTGTCACGTTTCTGTGTCAGATAAAAACTTTGAGAATGTATCATAGAAACCGGTTCCCCGGCGGTCTACACGACGTGATAATCGCGGCCAGCTTTCAGTTTTGAATCTCTGTTCATATACATGTTCCCTGAAAAACTTGCACGTTAATCTATTGACACACGATACTCAGCACTTAGCTTACTTCGACGTGATCGAAATCCAATCGATAATGAATATTTAGTATTAAGCAGTCAGGGGTAAATTTCTAGCTACCCTAATCCCAGTTATTATCTACAAATAATGAATTTCTTTTTTCTCTTGGAAGAATAACTTCTGTTTCTCCTGTTTAACGATATATTTGTCTGATATGAAAAAAACTTCTGTTTTCTAAACATTCCTATAACTTTTAAATATGAAAGTAACTAACACATTAGTATCTCTTGTCAGTGTAACGACCTCTAACCTAGGATTTCAGCTTCGTTAGCGCTGATCGCTTACGGCCAGAAACGTTCATTATCCTTTAATCATCTATTTTATCTATTTCCTTAAGACTGATGTCAGAAACGATGATGTTAGATGTTATGAACGATGTTAATAATAGACAATTAGTAATTAAACAGTAAAAACATAATTAATGCAGTGCAGAAACCAATAGAAACTAAAATAATTGCCAAAATTGACAAAGTAATATGCAACGTGTTAACTAGAGATAAAGTAAAGGAATAACAAATAAAATATAACAAAAAAAAAAAGAAGAGAAAAAGTAAAAGGAAAGTTTAATCACAAGGACCATAACTATTGCGATTTACGTGAAAGGAATAATCAATTTCAAGTAACGATGTTTCAAAAAATTAGGAAACACAGCACATGATATTCATCACGATAATTCAATTCATGAGAAAATTGTCAACAATTCTTGCGAGCAAGATTTTCAAAACATGTAACGTGGTTGAAAACTGTATATGGAACCACAGTGCCATTATTATTCCACAGCGTACACACACACACACACACACAAAACATCGAGACATGCATCTTTTATTTGCAATTCATGAACAATTTTATATTCACAAAAATTTCTCCTGCACAAACTCTCCTCTTTGCTTACTTGTTATACAAGCGACATACTTAATGCTGTTCCCAAAAAATACGCTTCATTTCAGAATAGCGACTTTCTTAATAATCGAACACTGAATATTTAAGTTGTATATAATTTTTGTAGAACAAGACGTACAACCGTATGTAAAATTTTTTATTGTCAATTTAACTTTGACGGCATGAATTTTCGTTTTATCAAAGATTACTAAAGTGCGAAGAGTATTGTACACGTAAAATTACGCTTCGAAAATTTGCGGTCGCGAAGGAAGGAGAAATGGAAATTCATAACCACGATCCACGCGTTACACTAATTACACAAGCGTGCGAAACTATGTCACGACAGATTTCATTTTCCACCGATCAAATTGCCGCGAATTGTTTAGATTTTGTAGAACATCAATTAACTCTGTATTTTTCTAGCTCTCGGCCATATGGAAGAATTTAAATTTTGTAGGATATCTTCGATCTTTCGCCTCGCAAGGGACCACGTCTTGCAACGCTTTAGCGATTTATCTTCGCGGATGTTTCGCAAGCTCGTCCCGCGGGGACGTGCAATGTAATCTGTTGCAACGTTTTTTCGTTTCATTTCTAGTCAAATCTCGATTGAACGACCGCGTTTCACTTGATCTC